TAAGTTCATATAACAAGTATGTTTAAAACTCTGTAGTTTCAAAAATACGTTTAGTGATTTTGAAATTCATTTAATTTCAGTAGAAGTAGTTTTTAATATTGATCCTGTTGGTTTTAAATTTGGTTTTAAGAGTTCTATAGACTTAGAGGTAAAAGAGATAAAGCAAGCCAGGGCAAAGGCCTGAGTCCTGCTCCTGAATTTCCCCTTCGCCCTGGGCCTTGAGCCCACCCACCCCGGAGTCCCTGTTGTCCCTCTCTGAAACCCTGGCATTCTTCTGAGCAAGGAGCAGCTTTGTCTGAAAAATCTCTGGTCTAGCCCAGGTGGCAGAATGAGGCCCAGAGCAGTGGTTCTCAGACTTGAATATATGAAAACAATTGGGGAACTTCTTGGAGATGCAGATTCCCAGGCTCCGCTCTCTGAGATGGAGTCGAGGAGTCTGGGATTCCCCCAGGCAGCCCAGCTGGTTCTGATGCGGGGGTTCCTTCCACCTGTTTTGGAGGGTGCCGTCTGTCCAAGGACAGTGGTAGGACCAGAATTCAGACCCAGGTTTCCTGACATGCAGATCAGCGCTCTTCCCACCATAGTCCAGTGACCCCTGAACTACCCCGTTGTTCAAATACAAACTTCACTATTCAAAAATGGCAGAATCAGTCAACAGTGAGTGAATAAACAAAATGTGCTCTAGCCATACAATGGAATATTATTCAGCCTTAAAAAGGAAAAAAATTCTGACACATGCTATAACATGGATGAACCCTGAGGACATTACGCTCAGTGAAATAAGCCAGTCACAAAAGGACAAATATTGTATGAGTCCATTTGTATGAGGTACTTACAGTATCAATATCATAAAGATAGTAGAATGGTGGTTACCAGGGACCAAGGGAGGAGGGAATGGGAGTCAGTGTTTAATGGATACAATGCTGCTTCAGTTTGGGAAGATGAAAAAGTTCTGGAGGTGGACTGTGGTGATGGTTGCAAACAATGCAAATGTACTTAATGCCACAGACTGTACACTTAAAAATAGTTAAAATAGTACATTTTAAGTATACTGCAATTTTTAAAAAACATCACAATGTTCTCTGCCCTTGAAGCCGATTTCATTTACCATTTTGCAGCTGGGAAGATGCATTTACAAATCGGCTGGCTTTCTGGCTGTGGGTTCTAGACATTGAGTTCACCCAGCTGCTTTAATCGTATGCCTTCGGGCAGCCACAGAATGGTCCTACCTGTGGCCCCTCCTGTGGTGCCGCCTTTTGGCACCTGCTATGGAGTTCAAGGCAGCCCCCGTTCACGCCTCAGCCTAACACCTCCCGGGGGCGACAGAAGCAACAGGCCAGGCTCAGGCGCCCCAGAGGGAAAGAGCAGAAGGAAGCAAGAAGAGCAAAGCTGAGGCTGGGAGACAACTCTGGAAATGGTGCGAGTGGCCCGGGGTTCACTTGGGGCAGAAGCCAGGGAAGGCGTTAGAGCAGAAACTTGAATGTGGCCCTTTTGTGAGAACAGCTGTCACATCGCCATTTCCTAGAAATGCGGATGGACATGTCTGAAGGCAGTGAAGCACTGAATGGAAATAACTGGGAAATAGGCTTCCTCCTCATCTCTGCATGTCCTGTCACAGAAAGTTGTAAGAAAAAGTGAAGCTGGAGCGGACTGAGAAGCCACATGTTATAAGTTCTTGGTCGCTGGGAACCCAAACTGCATTCTTTGTTGAAAGGGGGGCATGAATGGCCACGGAAGAAAAGAGAGCGGGAAAAGAGCCAAAAAGAAAGGGGAGGTCAGTGCTGGCTTTCAAGACGGGCTTTGTGATGAGTTTTCTTTCCCTGCTCTGAGAAGTTTATTGGTGGTTGTAAGTTCATGGCGTTGGGCAATTTTCCAAACATTTGGGGAAGTTACTCATGAGAAAGCAACCAACTGCAGACGGCTCATTGGGAAATGTGGAGAGTCAGTGCCTGGGTGGTTTTTGGACTAATCCAGGATTTATTAAAGCCCAGAGAGCAAGCAGCAGAGAGGATTTTTTAAATAATGAGAGTCATCCGCATTTCGATAGAAAGGAAAGTTTCCCTCTGGTCTGAAGGAGGTGGCAGAGCCCAGGAGGCGGGGAAGAGGAAGGGGCTCCCTTTGTGAATCAGGTGGCAGTCTGGGGACCCCAGCAGCGGCAGAATCATTCCTTTCGAGCCCCCTCCCCTCCAGGGTACAAAGTTTCAGTTTCAGTTGAGAGGACTGGAGTGGGTGAGTAATAGGGCTAACTTCTCCCTCTCAAATATGGTCTGATGTGACGTCAGTATCTCTGCCAGATCCCGGCGCTGCCTGGGAGATGTTATACACCCGAGGGCTTCATTTATGGCATGGACTTACTCTTCCAAAGTTATATGGAAACCAAATTGTTTTAAATCTTCAAAGGTAGTTAAAGAAGGCCTACTTGAAATCTTTTGTAAATCTAAATATGTTTCTGAAAGATGAGGAAAAGCTTTGAAAAATATTTTGCTTGTAGCTCTGTATTTTTATTTGTCTCCTTTGCCGCTGGAACATTCAGGATGTTGCAAACGTCGTAGCCGAGGTTAATCATCTGTCATTACCCGTCTTGATTTCCCAGAATGTTGTATCAAACAGACCAGTTTCCCTTAGTGTGGAAAATCCAATAATTCTACAGCTCCCTTAGGACTTCATAATATTTGACCAATTTCCCTTCTACCAGAAAAAAAGCTTTTTACAAAATTTCTAAACACACCGGAAGACTGTGTCATCTGGCCTTTGAACACAGGTTAGGCTGAAGTTTGGGTGCAGGGCTAGGCCCCAGGCGTATGTGGATGCTGATGTCGGGTGGTCAGCTCAGCATGCACACGTCGTGGAGAGGGCTTCATGCAAGGCACAGGCTGGGCAGCAGGGGCAGAAGGCATGCACCGTTTCAGAAAGTCTGCCCAAGCCCAAAGCCAAGCCCTCAGGAGGAACAGGGTCAGCGAAAACCACAGGGCCTCAGAGTCCAGAGAACCCTGGAACGGGGAGGGACCGCCTCACAGAGAGGGTGACTCCCGAGCTCGATCTTGAGGGGAGCCCGGGGTTCAGATACTCCGAGTCAGGCAGGAGGAGCAGTTCCCAGCAGGAGTAGCAAAGGAGCACCTGCCCAAAGGCGTGAGGATGGAGGAGGGTCTGGGGACAGAAGGTGGACCCAGGTGGCAGGGCTTCCAGCAAGGAGAGGAGGGTAGCTCCTGGAAAAGCTTCAGGAGAAATTATGAATTAAAGGTTTGGAAACACTTATGAGAGAACAATAATTGTTAGGAGTCACTAAGCGTGGCTTCACTAAGAACTAGTCATTTCCTGTTTTTTATAAGGTTACTAAACTGGTAAACTAGAGGATATTGTCGAGGGGATTCTTGGGATTGGCTGGAAGTTTCTGGAGGAACAGAAATGTTCAGGGTGGGTCGGCAAGCCCTGAGTTGTACTGTGCATCTCATTTCGGCAGGGCATGTGGCAAAGCGATGCTCAGTGAGGCTTCTGTGAAGAGCGTGGTTTGCATGAGTGAACGTTCATCCCCACAGCAAGCTGATGATGCGCTGATGACGGGATGGAGGGTGGGCCTCGGTACTGACAGGGGCACCATGTCTGGCCCATTTCTTTTTTCCATCTTCACCGACATTTGCCAGTGACATAAGGAAAACACAGGACACATCTACCTGAGTTTCAGATAATATGAAACTGGAAGGGAAAAATAAATGTATCAGTCAACATATGCAGCCCTATGTTTATTGCAGCACTATTTACAGTAGCCAAGACATGGCAGCAACCTAAGTGTCCGTCAGTAGATGAATGGATAAAGAAGATGTGGTACAGATACACAATGGAATATTATTCAGCCATAAGAAGAAAACAAATCCTAGCATTTGCAACAGCATGGATGGAGCTAGACAGTATTATGCTCAGTGAAAAGCCAGATGGAGAAAGACAAGTACCAAATGATTTCACTCATATGTGGAGTATAAGAACAAAAGAAAACTGAAGGAACAAAACAGCAGCAGACTCACAGAACCCAAGAAGGGACTAACAGTTACCAAAGGGAAAGGGACTGGGGAGGATGGGTGGGAAGGGAGGGACAAGGGGAAAAGGGGGCATTATGATTAGCATACATAATGTAGGGGGGTTGCACGGGGAAGGCAGTACAGCACAGAAAAGACAAGTAGTGACTTTAGGGTATGTATGTGGTGGGAACCTGATAATACAGGGGAATGTAGTATCCACAATGTTGCTCATGTGAAACCTGCGCATAAGATTGTATATCAATCATACCTTAATTTAAAAAAATGTCTTTGGGGCTAGAATGAAAACAAGTAGCTGAAATATAATAGGTACAAATGTAAAATATTGTACCTGGGGTCAAAAAATTAACTTCTCAAGAAGCAGATGGAGACATATGTCTCAGTAACAGTAGAGGTGAAAAGAGATCTTCTAGTTCACCACACTATGGCCTAACAGTGCGATGCTCTGGGTGATGAAGACCCTATTTAGTAGAGCAGAGTGTCTATAGTCTATATATTCTCTAATTCAACACATCCTTATTTAGTCCCCAATATGTGTCAGGCACTGGGCTGGGCAGTGAATGCACTGCAACAGGATAGGCAGCGTCGCTGCCCTCATATAGCCTGAAGTTTACTAGGGCAAAGACACAAACTCAGAAAGAGAAAAAAAAAATCACAACTTGCGATGGGGGCTTGGAGGGACACACAGGCATGTCAGAAGGAGAGCGCTGAGGGACCTGCATTTCTTGGAGGGGTCAGGCAGGCCCCCCTGGGGCCCTGTGAAGGGAGGGACAGGCACAGAGGCAGGATGTTCCAGCAGGACAGGGAGTCAAGGGCCCTGAGTGCAGAAGGGGCCTGATGTGTTCCCAGAACTGAAAAACCAATGAGGCTTCTTCATGTCTGTGGCCACCTCCACCGTCCCAGTTGTCCATGGCACTGGGCTGCCGTTGCCCAGCCTCCTTTGTGGTTGAATATGGACTTGGGGCCGAGTGCTCCGAGGGCACGCTGACAGACGGCCCGTGCTGGGAGCTGGCACCCTTCGGAGGCAGGCACGCCCCTCCTCTTGCTCTTTTGTTCTCTTACTGGCAGCATCCGGGACTGGGCAGCGAGCCAGCTTGGACCAAACCGCCCCATGGAACGGCGGAGCCTCGGTGGGAAGGGGCCGGGGCCCCTGAGTGACCGCAGAGAGCAGCACCCCTGCCAACCCGGATCACTCACCCCGGACAGTTACTTGGGAGAGAAGAAACGTTGTGTATTCTCTAAGCCCCTGAATCAATGTCACATCACTTACCTGACCATTACAGAGACACAGGAGAAGCCCCACCAACCTGTCCACATTTAGGACACTGCATGTAGTTCAGAGGGGCACTTCTAAAAAAGAGATACTGACTATGGGAAGTATCTCCAGGGTAAGGAAAGGACAATGAGGTTTACGAATTGGAAAATCAAGTCTATGAAAATCTGTTAAGGACACTAAGGTTGTTTCCACTGGAGATTTCTCAGGGGTGTCAGGATGGCCATCTTCAAACACTGAGGACGATGAAGTGGGGCTGCGGTGGCTCCTGTGTGGCCTGCGGGGGATCAGAATTCATGATGAGGCAGATTCTCATTCCGTGTGGGGGAGAAGTTTCTAATGATAAGGGATGACTTGAAAATTCCGCATGGCTTTGAGTAGCAGAGGCTTCTCCCCGCCATCGTATCCAAGCAGTCTGACTGTCCACCTGTGAGCAGACATTCACAGGGGTGATTCTGGCATCATTCAGTGGAGATTCTTGCAACTAGGACTTTAGGTAGGAGAGATAATAAAGGATGCAGGTTTAAGCCAGGTCATCATGGGAATTGAATGTCAGCTTGGACTGAAAGCTGGAGGCAAGGGAAATCCCGAAGGTTTCTGAGCAGAGGAGGAACATGATAAAAGTAAGGAATATGACTGGCCAACAGGCAGGACAAATCCTGATTTTTCACAGCCCGGGTCATTTGGTGCCTGCATCCCTGAACCAGCAGCAATTTAAGGAAAACCAAGAATAAAGAATATTGATTTTCATTACTTTATTCATGAGATAATTCAAAAAATATTTTGGAGCTAGGATTTTTCTTTTAACTTATCTCCCAAAATGAATGATCCTTTTAGACCAAGGAACTCAAAGTACTTTACACCCTAGCCTCATTCAGGCTTGTCACATATCTGAACTGTTATGTCAGGGTCAAGACTATCAAACCTCTGCTCACGGATAAGGAGAAGGACTCCCAGAGAGGGCCAGTGAATTGTTCAAGGTCACAGTGAGTCAGTGGCAGGGCAGGCTCCTGACAGAGGGCCCCCACACTGCCCCCACCCCATGCTGGGGGTACCTCAAGTAGGAATGTCTCCCACATACCAGAAAAACCAACCTGAACCAACGGTTTTTCCGAAATTGGAAATTACCCATGGCATTGCAAGCTCAACCAATTTCGTTCTGCAGGAAAGATGAGAAAAGTGAGGCTTAGTGAGGTCACCCAGGCAAAGGCCTAGCTAGGACTTGAGCCCAGTTCCTGGGATTCTGAGTACTAGATCTTACCATCCCACCTTCCCATAATATGCTTACCACCTGCGCAGCACGACTACCTGGAACCTATGGACCATCACCAGGAGCTCCACTGCCTAGAAATATCCAGGTTCATTGGCTTTGACCAACAGTCCTTGAAAACTTAGAGCTGATGGGGGTGGGGAGGGAGAACTGTCTGAGCCTCTTACTACAAAGTCAGAAGGGAGAACATGTGTTTCACATTTGTGCTGCGATGGGAAAGAAAAACTTTTCCTTTCACTTAATCTCGGTTTAAACAAACACAGAGACTGCCCTTTTTGTAAACTCACCAAACGTCAAATATTGTTCACTAGCATGGCAATGGCTTACTAAACCGCTGGAGAACCGCTTTCCTCACGTAATCCCCTCCACTAGTCGGCACTTCAGCTTGAAGAGGGACAACTGAAATAATACACATTTCCTCTGATGAATAGGACAGGAGTCAGCTGATAGAGTCAGGTTTCCAAATCTCTAACCTCTGGTTTCACCCAGAGACCCGAGGCAATGGGCTTCAGGCATGACTCAGGATTTGGGGAGTGAAAGCAAGCGCATCAAGTGATGTAAGAAAATTCCCCGCTCCCCTTCCCACCGCGTCCTCCTCCCTGGGGAATGCGGGCTGAGCTGCCGCCCGTCGCTGCATGCTCAGTGGCCCCGCACAGCTGCCAGCACCATTGCAGCAGCCGGCGCTGGGGCTGGACAAAGGAAGCTCTCAGTTACAGCCACTTCCCTGTTGGCCTGTGAGCTCAGATAATTGTTTTGTGATGCGTGTGTGAGAAACTCATAAAGTAAACCAAGCAGCAGAGGGGCCAGGTCTGGGCTAAAGGGAAGTGTCAAGTGGGAGAGGCTAGTGATGCAAGCCTACCTTTGAAGTCACTTTGTTTGTGAAAAGTCTGCTGTGCTCCCTCTTAAGGAAACTCCACTGGAATGAGGTTTCTGTGCATGTGGGGTTCAGGCTATTGTTTTTGGCTCCGGTTTTCACCCCGAGCCCTCGCTAGGACATGTACAAATCCCGTAACAACAGCCTGACATGAAATTGCTCACCCTCTCATCGCACTGGGGACTTTAACTCAGGCGGGTCTTGAATGCCTCATTGTTCAAAAGGACAGGAAGTTTACTCTCCATGTAAATGAGGAATCTTTACTTTTTTCCTCCTTACCTCCTCGGAAGATGTTCACAGAGGCCTGGCTTGTCAGCCCCTTCCCTGGGAGCTGCTGAGACCCGCAGTCCTGTCCAGGTTCCTTCTCAGAGTAGGGGTTTTCTTAGGACCAGAGTGTTAGGAAGGCTTTTCCCTGGAGGTGACACTGGGTGATGGGCTCAGGGTCCACCGCCCCCTCCCCCACCACCAGGACAAGGAAGGGTCAGATCTTCTGAAAAGGGTTCAGTTTTTCTCTCCGGTTTCTTCAGTTCTGATCTGGACGTAGTTTGTTTCTTACACACACACAGAGGGAAGCCCCATCCTCAAATCTTATGATGCTTTTTCTCTTGGGATGCAGCACATGGTGACCAGCTCGCATTTGGAACATTGCGCTGAGGCTCTCAAGCCAGAGGAGGCCCAACGACCGGCACCAGCAAGAAGACTCCTGATTCAGAACCATGACCCAACCTCCATCGGTGCAAATCCTTGAGAAGGCTAGAAACTCCTAGAAGAAGCTTTGCAGTCTCCCCCATCTCTTGACATCCTCTGTAGGCAAACTCTTTTTAAAAGGCGCAAGAAGAACTCTCTCAACCTTTCGCCAATGCCCCCAGCCAAGAGATTGGCCAAGAGAGACGCTCAAAGAAAAAAGAGGTTCACAGACACAACTGTGTTTAGTCAGAGGAAATCAGATAAGGATGACAAAGAAGTAAATGACAAGGACACTGACCTTGTAGGATGGGTAAGCCATAATTTGTTTGCTTCTGTATTTCCTGAATCTTTTTTTTCTCCTATGTATCTGAAAAGAAACCGATAATGGATAAAAAAAAGAAAAAGGAAAAAGAAAAGTCAAGCACATTGCCTAAGCACTAAAAATTAGTCTGAAGTTGAAATACCATTGCAGTTATCTTCTGCACATGGCTTTGTCATCAACATGTCCCCAAGAGTCACAATGATACCTGACAGCATATATGCTAAGTATTCTTATTTGTTTAAAATTGCAGTATTGACCAGGGCTTTTACATGTATGTTGGGTCTGCATATGTCTGTGTTTTCATTTGCACCAGGTCAAATACAATTAAGCAAGACAAGCAATCTCCCTCCTGGCCGGAGCTCTGTTCTCAGACCACTTTCACATTGGAATCACCTGCAGACCGCAACACATGACGCCTGAGTGTCTATCCTAGAGATTCTGACTTATTTGGGTTGGCTGGGATCTGGGCACAGATTTTTTAGAGCTCCCCAGGGCCACCAGCCACAACTAGGCCAGGCACCCGCAGCACAGCCTCCTTCTGCTGGCCCACAAGGGCAGCCACACTTGCCAGCAAATTGCACAACATCCCTCCTCCCCGGAGCCGGTCTCCTCTCCCGGGTCCCAACCCTGGCTTTGCCTTAGGGACCTGGCCTCCCCTCTGACCATCACCACAGCAAAAAATTTCTGCTGAAAATACCCTCTAGTGTACCTTACTTGTTCACACTCAGTAAAAAATGGCTCTAAAAAAAAAAAAGACTCCAGGACATCTGGTCATTCTTATGTAATGAGGTGAGAAATACCAAGCTGTGTTCAGAGGCACCTGACTACCTGGCTGGACCCTTCCTTGGGGAGGCCGAGCCCCAGCTTCCTAAGGGGTCAGTGCATGGCACAAATAACACGCATCATGAGCCTGAAGGGCCCTGAGAGCCTGGCCCCTCAGAGCTGCTCAGCACACTTCTGATGAAACTGAGAAAGCATTTGGGGTGCTTCCCCAACCTAATCTGGTTCTGGAAATTCAAGCGAAAACGACGTCCTGCTGATTACGCACGGCCCTCTCAGAGAACACCAGGGGCAGGCTGGCCAAGGAAATAAAGCAGCCATCAGCAGACGCCATCTGCACCTTGTCTGTCTGCCCAGACTCTCCCCCTCAGGAGTCTTTCCTGGGATCTGCATTTACTGTCCTTGCAGAAACAGGACCCGGGGACAACTACGCTGTCGGTTGATGGGATTATAAACCAGGACCCCTCTGGGCGGGGGTGATGCTCCACACTGTAGGCTGTAAGTGGCAGACGGGGGTATTTCCTTCCGTCTGTGTAGGTGCTCCCGGTTCTGCACATTGCCACCTTCCCTGCTTTGGGCTTTGTCTTGCCCATCACATCTCACTTCAAACTTGTTTCTGGAAGGCGGGAACAGACATTGAAACAGTGTCTGTTGGTTGACGGTACTGCTTTGTGTCACATGAGTAGTTTTAGTTAATAGTGTGTTCCACATCTGGTAGGACCAGACTCTCCCAACCCCACCTCACCCCTCCTTTTCAAAATTCTGTTATTTTCCTTCATTCATTAAATATGGATTTTTTAAAAATTCAAATCAATGAATCCTCTGGGGTTTTGATTGGAATCAATAAATCAGCAAATTAATCTGGGGCTAAAGAAGTTTTCCAAACTGAATTTTCCCATTTAGCAATACCTATCTTATTAAGATCACTTTAAGATTTCCCAATAAAATTGTATAGTATTTTTTTTCAAGACCCCATGCAAATTTATCCAGAAGTGGTTTATGGCTTCAGGTGCTACTGTGAAAGGGATATCGTGATTAGGGTTCTTGGTGGCTTGCTGGCACACGGGAATGCCTTGACCTTTGTGTGTTTAGCTTGTGTCCAGTCATTTTTCTAAATATTTTTATTATTAATTCTGGTAGTTTGTATCTGGTCCCTCTAAGTTTTATAAGGATGCAACCACAGGGTAGCAAAGAATGCAATTTTGTATTAATGTAAGAGTCAGGGAGGGTAGTGGTATAACCGTGTAACTGTGTCCTGGCTCTGCTATAACAAAGTACCCCAGACTAGGCGGCTTAAAACAACAGAAATGTATTCTCCCACAGTTCTGCAGGCCACAGGTCAGAAATCAGGTACCATAGGGTTGGTTTCTTCTGGAGGCTCCGAGGGAGGATCTGTTCCAGGCATCTCTCAGCTTCCTGCAGTTACCAGCGGTCACTGTCAATCCTTGGCTTGTAGAGGCATCACTCCAACCTCTGCCTCGGCCTTCACGGCATTCCTCAGGAGTGTGTGTCTGTGTGTCGCCAAGTCTGTCTTCATGAGGATATCAGTCACTGGATTAGTGCCCACCCTAATCCAATATGGCCTCCTCTTAACCTGATTACATCTCCAAAGACCCTATTTCCAAACAAGGTCATGTATGCAAGTCCCAGAGGTTAGGACTTCCAACGTATCTCTTTGGGGAACTCAATCCTATGACATTCGGTGTGTTTGTCTCCGACCAGGCTCCATCTAGAATTTTGGGTTCTAGCTCATGAACCATATTTCAAGATATCCACTGAAAAAATTGCTACTCTCTGTGTGATAGGAGGAATGGCTATGAGAACCACATTCAGCTTGGATCCAGGAGGCATTTAGAGGTATTTAGAGTGCCTTCACTTAATTATGGGACTTTCGGAGTACACCTAATCTCTGTAGTTTCCAGGAAGGTGGCATTCAGAGGGAAGCAAATTTTGGCTTAATATAATTTGACTCAGAGATCTAAGGGATCTTTGGATTAAAGCTGTCTACCAAGCACTGTCTGTCTGCAACTATAGCAAATTACCTCAGCCTTTAACCATCTGACAAATACATACTGATATCTATCATGCGCCAGGCAACCTGTATCAGGCAGTGAGGGCTCCAGAGAGATCCAGGCCTTGCCCTCAGGAGGCTTACAGCCTACTGGCCCCAGAACCATCCAGGCAGGCTTCAGGGGACAGGGTGCTGGAGGTGTTCTGGAGAAGATTCTCTATGGGGAGGGCATGGCCAGATGACCACTGTGTCCCCTCAGAGCTAAGGCACTGTGGTCTTAGGATCCCTGACAAGTGAAATATAAGGGAAAGTGAAGGTTTTGGGTAGGAGCACAGGCATGGAATTAATTTTAAAAACAAAACAATCCTAGGGCTTAAAGGAACACAGAGGGGCTCTCCCTGGCAGGACACAGGCTGGAAGGCAGGCCCCCACGCCGTGTCTACAGCAGAGGAGAACTTCAGCTGTACAAGCCGGAGGCTGCACTCTCTCGCTTCCCGTTAGAGCCACCTTCTCAGCCTAACTCCACCCACCCCGAGGAACAGATGCTCAACGAGCAGCCCAGGCCCACCGCGCAGCTGCTCCAGCGGGGCCACCACAGTGGGGAAACCGAATCCCTCTCCCCAGTCTCAGCAGCCGAGGCCCTAGGTTTTTCCCCTTCTGCACAAGACACTC